ACTATAGCAGTCTGGGGCAAGAGGTAGCAGTTAGAACAAGCCCTAAATAGATCAAAAAGCCTGGTAAGAAAGAGGGAGGGAAAGGATTACACGGGGAAGTGAGGGACTTTTATAAAGCTCCTGCATTAATTAGAGAATTGAGAAGGCCATGCATATGCCCAAGAATGGACACATACTCAGAAAAGGCCTGAGGGGGCCAGCGCTGTGGTGCAGTGGGTTAAAGCCCTAGCCTGAAGTGCCGGCATCGCATATGGGTGCTGGTTCTAGTCCTGGCTGCTCCTCTTCTGATCCAGTTCTCTGCTATGGCCTGGGAGGGCAGTGGAGGATGGCCCAAGTCCTTGGCCCCTGCTCCCATGTGGGAGACCTGGAGGAAGCTCCTGGCTTCAGATCGGTGCAGCTCCGGCCGTTGCAGCCATCTGGGGAGTGAACCAGTGGATGGAAGACCTCTCTCTCTGTCTCTACCTCTCTCTGTAACTCTGTCTTTCAAATACATAAATAAAATAAATCTTTAAAAGAGCCTGAGAAGATTCCAAGCTTTCACCTCTTGCTGATTTTCAGGTTTTACATAAGAAGGAAGTGTGAAGGCAAAGGCAGCTTTATAATTGGTCTGGATCAATGTTGAAGGATTGTACCAAAACTGAGTCAATCTTCCAAGAGTGGGAGAGTTTTAAAAATTCTTTCTCTTTAAAAGAAATTTTGGGACTTCAGTTGTTTATGGAAACTATCAATACACACTTGTTGACCACTAACCTCATGAAACACAGACTTCAATGGCCACAACTGACAAACAGAAACTGTATGAAAATCATTTAGCAGAGTAACTAAAACAACATCCCCAAGTAAACAGCAACAAACTAAACAAAAAATTGAGTTAATTTTTTAAGGATTTATTTTATTTATTTGAAAGAGTTACAGAGAGAGGTAGAGACAGAGAAATCTTCCATCTCCTGGTTCACTCCCCAGATGGCTGCAATGGCTCGAGCTGAGCCGATCTGAAGCCAGGAGCCAGGAGCTTCCTCCGGGTCTCCCACACGGGTGCAGGGGCCCAAGGACTTGGGCCATCTTCCACTGCCCTCTATGGCAGAGAGCTGGATTGGAAGAGGGGCAGCCAGGACTAGAACCAGTGCCCACATGGGATGTAGGCGACACAAGCAGAGGACTGACCTACTGCGCCAAGGCGCCAGCCCCCCTGTTTTGTTATTTCTAATTAATCCTTATCATTTTCTTTTTTTCTGCTGGCTTTGAGTTTTTTTCTTTTTCTAATTCTACAAGGTGGGTGGTTGGTTGTTAATTTGATATGCTTATTTGTTTTGAAAAAAAAACTAGGCATTTATAGCTATAAACTTCTTTGGAAGGTATATTTTTGTTTTCCCTTTTCTCAACATATTTTTAATTTCTCTTGTGACTTTTTCTTTGGCACAATGATTATTTAGAAGTGTGTTAATTTTTACACAGTAGTATATTTTGAAATTTTCCTTCTGTTACTGATTTCCAATGTCATTCTATTGTGACCAGAGGACATATGTAGTATAATTTCAATCTTTTAAAAATCTATTGAACTTTTTTGGTGGCCCAACATGTAGTATATTCTGAAGAGCTTTTCATGTGCACTTGAGAGGAATATGTAATTTGTCGTTTGGGATTGACTATTCTATAGATGTCTTTGTTTTACAGTGTTGTTCAAGTCTTATGTTTTGATATTCTAATAAGTCTTCCAATTCATTACTGAAATGGGATATTGACAACTCCGACTGTTCTTGCAGAACTGCTATATCTCACCAATATGTCCATTTATGCGTGTATTTTTGGGCTCTGTTGTTAGGTGTATGTATGTTTATAATTGATACTGTCCTCTTGGTGGATTAATAATTTTAAACATTATACAGGACTCTTTATCTCATAACAGTTTTTTCTTAAAATCTATGTGATACTTGTAAAGTGAGTTTAGCCCTCATTTACTACCTCCATGGAATATAGCTTTTTCTTGCTTTAGAAAAGAGGATTTATTTATTTACTTGAAAAATGGAGTTACAGAGAGAGCTAGAGTAAGAGTGAGAGAGAGATTTTTGATTTGTTGATTGATTCCTCAAAAGGCTGCAACAGTCAGGTTTGGGCCAGGCCAAAGCCAGGAGCCAGGGATCTAATATGGGTCTCCCTTGTGAGTGGCAGGTACTTAATTACTTGAGTCATCGCCTGTTGCTTCTCAGGGTATACATTAACGGGATTCTGGAATTGGGAATAGAGCCAGGAATTGAACCCAGATGCCCTGGTATGGGATGTAGACCTCCCAAGTGGCATCTCCATTGCTTTCCTGAATATCCACTCCTCAATCCTTTTACTTTTTATTTTTTTTTTTGACAGGCAGAGTGGATAGTGAGAGAGAGAGACAGAGAGAAAGGTCTTCCTTTTGCCGTTGGTTCACCCTCCAATGGCCGCCACGGCTGGCATGCTGCGGCTGGCGCACTGCACTGATCCGAAGGCAGGAGCCAGGTGCTTCTCCTGGTCTCCCATGGGGTGCAGGGCCCAAGTACTTGGGCCATCCTCCACTGCCTTCCTGGGTCACAGCAGAGAGCTGGCCTGGAAGAGGGGCAACCGGAACAGAATCCGGCGCCCCGACCGGGACTAGAACCCGGTGTGCCAGCGCCGCTAGGTGGAGGATTAGCCTATTGAGCCGTGCGCTGGCCAATCCTTTTACTTTCAACCTATATTTGTCTTTGGGCCTAAAATGAATCTCCTATAGACAACACATATTTGCAACAGATTTAAAAATATTATCCATTTTTCTAGTCTTTGTCTTTTAGTTAGTTTAATTAATATAGTTACTGATATGGAAGTACTTCCAACATTTTACCATTTGTAATATATCTTTTCCCCTTTAATTTCTCCATTATTGTCTTATTTTTGTGTTTCATTATTTTTTTAATGTGCCATTTTGATTCTCATTTCCTTCTTTGCAAATTTTTTAGTTATTTTCTGAGTAATTACCCCAGGATTACAGTTAATGTGTTAATTTTTGATAATATACTTAAGATACCAACCTAATTTGAGTAGTCTATGAAATTTTTTTCTCCTCTATAGCTCCACTCTCTTCATGTCATTATTGCCATAAATTACATCTTTATATACTACATGCCAACCAATATGAATTTATATTTTTTGGTTTGTTTCTTAAATCATATATTTAAAAAAGAGGATTTAAAAGCCAGAATGCATTAACTATATTTTTTGTTTTTATCTATATAGTTATCTTTAGGATGTGCTTTATTCCTCATTTGGATTATAGTTATTCTCTATTTCTCCTAAAGAAGATCCATATCACAGGAGGAGTATTCTAAGGTACTGACACCAGGGTTGTGCAGGTAATACAGGAATGAATTTACAAGGAAAATACAAGGACTTCATGGCTCAATCATTTAATTTTCATTTTTTCTTTAATCTTCCCTTCTCTGAATTATTTTTAAATTTTTTAAAGATGTATTTATTTGAAAGTCAGAGTTACACAGAAAGGAGAGGCAGAGAGAGGAGAGAGAGAGAGACGGGGGGGGGGGGTCTTCCATCTGATGGTTCACTCCCCAATTGGCTGCAATGGCTGGAGCTGCACCAATCCAGAGCCAGCAGCCAGGAGCTTCTGGGTCTCCTACACGGGTGCAGGGGCTCAAGGGCCTGGGCCATCTTCTACTGCTTTCCCAGGCCACAGAAGAGAGCTGGATCGAAAGTGGAGCAGCTGGGTCTCAATCTGGCGCCCACGTGGGATGCTGGTGCTTCAGGCCAGGTGTTAACCCGCTGTGCCACAGCACTGGCCCCTTATTTTTAATTTTTTAAAAATTTTCATTTTATTTGAAAGGCAGAGAGAGACACATTGAAACACACACACACACACACACACCCCTTCCATCCACTCATTCCTCAAATACCTGCAAGGAGCCTGGAACTCTATTTGGGTCTCCTACATAGGTTACAGGGGCCCAAGCATTTGAGCCATCATTTGCTACCTCATAGGATGCATTAACCAGGAGCTAGAATTGGAAATGCAGCTAGGACCAACCCCCATATTCTGCTATGGGATGTGGATGTCTCAAGTAGCTTTAAAAAATTTTTATTTATTTATTTGAGAGGCTGAGTTACAGACAGTGAGACAGAGGTCTTCCATCCAATGGTTCACTCCCCAAATGGCTGCAACAGCCAGAGCTTCGGCAATCCGAAGCCCGGAGACAGGAACTTCTTCTGGTCTCCCACACGGGGGCAGGGGCCCAATGATTTGGGCCATCTTCTACTGCTTTTTCAGGCCATAGCAGAGAGCTGGATTTGAAGTGGAGCAGCCGGGACTCGAACCAGTGCCCATATGGGATGCTGGCACCACAGGCAGAGGATTAACTCACTGCGCCACATTGCTGGCCCTCTAAGTAGCTTTTAATAACTTTGTCAAATGACCATGCCTCATTAAATTTTCTTTTATGTTTTGAGAAGATTTATTTGTTCATTTGAGAGGTATAGAAAGGGGGGGGAGAGGGGAGAGAGAAGAGGGGAGAGAGGGATGGGAGAGGGGGATGGGATGGGATGGGATGGGATGGGATGCCATGCCATGCCATGCCATGCCATGCCATGCCATGCCGGCATTGCGGGCAGTGTTTTAATTCACTGTGTTTGCAACAGCAGCACCTCACTGGATTTTCTTAATGGTGGAGGACTGTAAATTTATCTGGTCAGGGTGAGGAGCAACGTGTGCAGGCTGCATGACCGACCCCATAGAATGTTTGAAGCAGTAACCGAGAGTACCCGGGATGGAGCGGAAGTAAAAAGTCCTCAGGCACACACCTATCCAATTCTACCACCTCTCTAGGAATTCATTCATAATGCTGGGAATTGTTTTTTCCAAGCTCCTGGAAACAGTTTCTGTTAGCTCGCCGCAGGCTCCAGCACGAGCACTGACTCTGTCTTCCCTGTAGGTGGCGCTGTGGCATGTGAGGCTGTCCCAGCAGGCCTTGCGTGCGTGACTCAGCGCTTTGCTCTGTGACGCGCCGCTTGCCAACGGTTGGTGTGGTGAGTGAATCGGTTGCTTGGACTGACCACCAAAGGGCAAGGCGGGAGAAAGAAGCGAAGTGTGTGGCTAGGACTGAGCAAGGACTGAAACAGGGCCCGAGCCAGGAGGCGAGGGAGGGGTGGACCAGTGGGGGCTAACACCGAAGGCGGTTGCCTGACTGGCCCGCGGCGGCCATGGCTGTGGACTTCGGGGATCACGCTAGTGGTTTCCGCCACAACGAGGTGATCCGTTTTATCAACGATGAAGTCCTCATGAATGGCGGCGGGCCGGAATTCTACGTGGCCTTCCGCTCCCAATCCTGGAGTGAGGTGGAGGACCGGCTTCAGGCAGTCGTGGTCGACCCGCAGGTACCGCGTGCCCTCAAGAGGGCCTGTGCCTGGAGTGCGCTGGCTTTGGGTGTGAGAGCCGCCGCGAGGCAGAGGGAGCAGCAGAGGCACAGGCTCCGGCAGCTGCAGGAGCAGGTGGAGGAGCGCGAGTTAGCGTCCTCGGCTCTGGCCTCTGAGCTGCAGCAGCTGCGAGAGAAGCGCGAGATGGCGGTAGCACAGCTGCACTACGTACTGGCCACCCTGCAGGTGACGCTGAATGAGCGCGATGTGCTGTACCAGAGGCTGCTCCAGATGGAGCCATCTACCCAGTTTGCCCCTCCGGGCCATGAAGTAGGTCTCGGGCTGGGGGCTGAGCAGCAACATTGGGCTGCAGCGTGGCCCCTGAATCTAGAGCAGCAGAGAGGGATGGTGGCTATGGAGGCACATGGCGGGCTGTTTGATGGCCAGATGCCAGCTCCAACAGCTGCTGTTTCCATGCCTGGACCCCCAGACCCCTGGGTCCAGACCATACAACCACCTCTGCCAATGACAGTGCCAAACTCAGTTCCTTTCTACCCACCAGTGGGGTTCCCATTCTTGCTACCTCTACAACCCACGGTATTCATGGGAGCAGAAGCTGCAGCAGTTCCACCTTCACAGCCTCCTGTGGGGATCTTCCCACCTGGCCCGTGGCCTGCAATGGTCTTCCAGGAGGCGGCCCCTCAGAAGGACAACAGCCAGGAGGCAAGTGCTGAGATCCTCCAGGAGCCAGTCCCCCCTGGGGACACCAGCCTCAGCCAGGAAGAACATCCAGAGATACTCCAGGGGATGGCCTCCCTGCGAGATGGTGGAAGCCACAACCAGGAAGAAGTCGTGCAGGGGATCCAGGAGAGAGCCCTTCCCGGTGACACAGGGAGGCACGTCCAGGGAGAAGGTTCAGAAGGCCCTCAGGAGATGGCCCCTCTGGAGGACAAAGGGAACCACACCCAGGGAGAAGATCTAGTGACATCCCAGGGACTGCCCCTTCTTGTGGATAGTGAGTGCAGTAGCCAAGAAGAGCCAGGAAAGTTCCAGGGGATGGGTACCCTGGTGTTTTACAGAAGCCACAGCTGGCAAGAAGGTCCAGAGGGGTTCCAGAGGCTAGCTCCCCTGGAGTTTCGAGCAAGCCCCAGCCAGCAAGAAAGTCCCGAAGAGGCCCAGGGGTTGGCCTCCCTGCGAGACAGCAGGAGCTGTGGCATAAGAGAAAGCCCAAGGAAGCCGCACACACAGTTGCAGAAGGCCAAGCAGCTGAATGGAAAAACACCCTTGGAGTCCCAGCAGCAGCCTTCCCTACGCTACCATCCAGGGAATTGGGACTGTCCTTCGTGTAAAACCAATAATTTTGCAGGGCGCACATGCTGCTTTAAATGCAAGAGAGTCTTTAGGCCAGTTGAGAGTAGATGCGTTGATCCAGGACAAACTTATTGATTTCAAGAAGGTAAGTAAGAATGAAAACACTCCCAAAGAAAACAATTTCTTAAGATTCCCCTGCTTATCAGAAACTAACTAATTTACACACAAAAAAATTGAAACCAAACTTATAGAGAAAATTAAATTACTCCATCATTCCATTACCCAAATTAACCACTTTTTAGCCCTGTGGGTACACATACACACAAATGCATATGTATTTATATTTTTATTTACTTGAACAAAGAAGGACTACTTTTATCTATAATGCTTGCTTTAAATGGTGAATTTCTCATAACTGCATTTAAGTTTTGCAGGTGATGCATTCTGGATGGCTGATAGTGATTGACACCCTGGAGGAGCTGAAGTCATGAAGCCTTGTTTGTTTTCATTCCTGACTTCTTTAACTCTTTTCCTTGAAGGTGTCATGTTTGAGTATTTAGCTGGGAGCAGCCCCTTCAGTTTAGAGTTATAAGTTGTGTTGAACTTTAGGAACACCGCTTTTCCCTGAAAATGTTATTGTTCCTTTGGAAACCCTAGCAATTTTCATGTTTGCTTCTTTTTTAAGTTCCATAGAAGAGATCCCGTTTTTGAGTCTCAGCCACACCAAACCTGCTTATTGTCGAAGAAGCTGAACCTGTCCTGTTAGAAGAGCTCCCAAGAGCCAGAAGAAACACCTGATGGACCCATATACTTCAGTGAGACTCCGGTGGAGAGAGGATCCCAGAAATGTGAGAGATCAGGGAAGAGATGTGTGGACACTCATTAGGCGGATTAGAAGAACAAGATAGTTCTGGTAGAAATGTGTTTTTCCACTGAAACAATAAATTAATTTGAAAGTGTTCTGGGAGCTGTTATATTAATTGCATAGGTGATAGCAAATTCAATAAATTCTGCTTAATTCATTAAATAGGTATTGCATAGTTTGTGTTAGAAGCTAGACTTATAAGTTATTGTCTGATGCATATATCAAACTTTTTTTAGTTAGTCTGGTTAGATGATGGGAGAGAGTATAATTTGGAATGCAGATTCCATCAAGGGTATCTATGCCTTGCATGCAATGTGGCCTTGGGAAAAGCCAATTGAAATTACAGTCAGATCCATTTTTTTAAAAAAGATTTATTTATTGGAAAAGCAAAGTGGCAGAGGCAGAGAGAGAGAGGTAATTCATTTGCTGGTTCACTCCTAAATGGCCACAACGGCCAGAGCTGAGCTGATCTGGAGCCAGGAGTTTCTTCCAGGTCTCCCATGCAGGTGCGGGGACCCAAGGACATGGACCACCTTCCACTGCTTTCCCAGGGCATAACAGAGAGCTGGATCAGAAGTGGAGCAGCTGGAACTTGAACCGGTGCCCATATGGGATGCCAGTGCTGCAGGCAGCAACTTTACCCACTATGCCACAGTGCCGGTCCCTTCAGATCCATTTTTGAATAAAATGCATCGAAATAATATCCTGATCCACTTTTTAATAAAACCTGTTGAAATAACATCTAGGTCCATTTTGGGATAAAACCAGTAGAAATAGCATCCAAATCCACTTTTGGGCAAGACCCGTTGAAATGACATCCATGCCCCCCCCCCCTTTTTGCAGTTCTGGGGGCAATGTGAAAGAACTTGAGAACTTGAGTAACCAAACTGTTCATCACATTGCCCCCAAGTACAACAGATGAGCAGTGACAGAAATCAGAAAAGAGGCCTTATGAAAGTGGAGGCAAGTCTTTTCTGATTCTCTGCTGATTTCCTCCCTTGGGAAGGACAGCTGTTTTCCTTGGTTTCCCACCAGACTGCCTGAAAGATCACTGGGTTTCTTTGAAGGACAGTGCTTAGGAGAGTGTGGGCTGCACATTCTGCTCCTTGGTTTTAGGCTACCCCCACCCCTAGGTCCTTTCCTGTGAGCAGCACATCAAGGACCGACTTTGAGGCTACCAGGCTAGGGATGGTGTTTCTCTTGTGAGGACTGACTGGCCTGGTCTGGGCTAGCATTCTTGAGAGTGCCCCGGGCCCCTTCCTTCCCACTACAGGCTCTCTCTTTCCCATGGCAGTTGCTGCAAGGCAAGGTAGAGCCCAGAGGTTGAGGGAGTTAGATACAATCTTAGTCTGAATCAAAGGTGTCCTAGAGTTCCCTCACTAAATCCTGCCTGACTCACAGAGATCAACCATTGCCAGGGGTTTTCTGTTTCTAACCAGTAATAAAGAGTGTGTACTTGCCTACTATGTCTTATGTGTCATTTGTATTTCTGGGCAGATTTGCTCAGAGGCGGCAGCTTAAATCTTTTCCGCATCCCACTGAGGAGAAAGAAAGTTTGTTCTCAGTCACTGCTGGACGGCCCCTTTCTTGTGAGTTACCCAAGAATTGGGGTAGTGTACGTGAGACTTCTGAGTCACCGTGACTGTCCCCGCTACTCTCACTGTCCATATCTGCATAGTACCTTGAAGACGGGCGTGTGTGCTACTCCATAGCTGGTGAGGCACAGAGGATGGAAACTACAAAACCTGGGGTCCAGCCTCCCCTCTGTGTACCAAGAAGGGCTGTTTCCCTGAGGCCCTTGTCTCCCTGAGACCCACTGATGTCCCATGAGCAGAAATGGCCCTCCTGCCCTCCAGGCGCTGTCCCCTCTTCCATGCATAATCCAACCGAGGTGCTCAGGATTTGGGGAAGGAGCCAGGCTATAGACTGCTCACAGGATAAGTGTTCCGAGAGGTGAAAGGGAAGAGAGGAGAGGCCAGCTACTGCTTGGCACAGGGACATAGAGCAAAAGCGACCCTGCCCCACTAGCTTTCTCACTTAAGAGTTGTGACTACAGCAGGTAACTTGGGAAGAGAGTGCCAGAGAAGAAAGGGTCCATCAGGGAAATCAGATGCAAAGCTAGGTTTTCTGGGTTGTGGAAGGTTTTGTGATACTCTTGTGTGTGCTGATAGCGCCAATTATAAGAGATTATTAATGGTAATGAGAGCTACCACTGAGTGCTTACTATGCGCCAAGCACCCAGGGTACGTTACCTCTTTTGGTGACTGTAACGTGTAACAGGAAACCAAACCAACCATTCTTCGAATTGGGTACAAATGTGGTAAGTTAATGCCCAAATTTGGGAACTGGTGGCTCCAAAGTAAAATTTTACTGGTTCCAATATCTGTCTTGTTTTTGTAATGTTATACTACCTGAAGCTTCTACCCTTATGGAATAATATATTTGCATATTAGCAAGGATCATCAATGCTTAAATCCAATGAAGTTAGTTGTAAGGGAGGGACTTTGAGGCATAATGGCAGTCATGGTGGCAGGTCGTGGAGCTGCTGTTTTAGAATCTCTCAAGTTTTGTGAGATGTGACCACCTAGGCTACCAGTAAATAAGACCATTTATTATTTTCATTTCCAGATATGCAAGAAAAGGGTGGTAATTTAGGTCATGGAGTGGTTTATGTTTGATTCAGCTGACTGACCTTATGAAAAGTTTGTGTCTAAGTTTAATGTAATTAAGATAGAGCACATCTTGACTACTTACCTGAAATCTGTCTGAATTACTTAATTTGTTTTAAGTAGATAAAGTGCCAGTTATAAATGTCCAGTGTATGTATATATTTTTTTCAGTGAGGAAGGAGGAGGAAAGGAGACTTCAAAACCTAAAAGGTAATCTATAAGAGTGAAATTGATGCTTTGTGATGTGATTTTGAACAGCCCTTGTGTTGACTGTTGAAGAACAATGTTTTTTGTTTAATTCATTTTGTTTTTTTAAAATTTTTCTTCATACTGTTTGAACTCTCTATTTAGGGTTAACCTCATGAGTATAAAGTAAACTGAAAATAGATCTTTGTAAAAAAAAAAGTGGGAATGGGAGAGGCAAGAGGAAGAAGAGTTTGGAATACGGGCAAGAGAGATAGGGTGGGAAGAATCACTATGTTCCTAAACTTGTATATTTGAAATGTGTGAAGTTTGTATTCCTTAAATAAAATAAAAAAGGAAAAAAAGCTTCAAGCTCATGTTGCAAAATGGGGACTGGAATTGATGCTTTTAAATTCAGCCATGATGCTAAGTCTATGACAGAGAGGCAAAGAAGTGCATAATTTCTTTATTGCATGCTTTGTAAAGTCTCAACACCCATGGTAGCATATTCTTGTTATATGGTACAGCCACTGTACATAGCACTCTTGAGTGGTTTCCTCACTTTGTGCCACATGATAGGGTGAATGCATTTACTGGTGCTAAACCTCACATGCATTTAAGGATACTAAACAACCCTAGCCTCTGAGGTTGATGAACAGATTTTCTTATTGACTATAATGTTTATTTTTTGCCTTTAATAAAAGTGTCTAGAAACAATGAAATAGGCATAGGGAGTGTTGCTGTACTGGGTATCAATACCCCCAGAAAGCCTAGTACAATTCCTTGAGTACAACTGTCCATTTGGTGCACTGTTGGAAGCACTCTCTCCAGTGGACCCAAGAATTCTTCCAGCAGGCCAGATTGTAGCCTATCTAGCCTAACTTCTCTGGGGGCATAAAGCAATTGTTGGAAAGCAGTATATCATCCTGAGTGTCAATTTTAGAGGCAAGCAGTGCCACCAGGAATCTTTAGCTTCCTTTATTACTTTATAGATCAAGTGTGCAGCAGGCTGAATTCAGGGCAGGCTTGCTATGAGCTGGGCCAAGTGCTCTACTCTGTGGAAGGTATCATTATTGCCCTCACTGACCTCCCATTCTATTAGAAGAAATAAGATAAGTACGCACAAAACACTAGTTCGCAAGTCTTTTCATCAGTTCTGTCATATTTTTTTGGCCTATAGATGTCAATTTTTGCAAGATTCTATGTATGAAATGGCATCAATTAATAAATGATCATTTTTTCTTTTAAAATTAAAAAACCTATATAAAGCTCCTCACAAAGTTCATATGATTCTAAGAACAAGCACTTACCATTTTAGTACAGGATTTTTTGAGGATTCACTGAATCCTATTATTATTACTATTATTTGTACATACAGCCTAATCACAGGCCAAAGGATTATTTTATTGTGCTCTTTGTAATACAATACCTCAGAATCTATTAATACCACCTTAAAATTCTATAAACTTTGGAATACCAATTAGGGGCAAACCTCTCTAGAAAGCTAGTGGTTTTTTTTAAAAAAATTTACTCATTATTTGAAAGGCTGAGTTTCAGAGAGGCAGAGAGAGAGACAGACAGGTCTTCCATCCACTGGTTCACTCCCCAAATGGCCAAAATGGCCAGATCTGGGCTAATCTGAAGCCAAAAGCTTCTTCTAGGTCTCCCATGAAGGTGCAGGGGCCCAAGGACTTGAGCCATCTTCTACTGCTTTCCCAGGCCATAGCAGAGAGCTGGATCAGAAGTGGAACAGCCGGGACTTGAACCGGTGCACATATGGGATGCTGGTACTGCAGGCTGCGTATTTATCCACTACACCATAGTGCCAGCCCTGAAAGCTAGTAGTTTTAATACATGCTGAATGCCAGTAGGTACTAAGAGATTTTAGAGGAGTCTGTTTAATGTGTACCATTTTGGATTGCAAATGTTCCATGAGAGCCAGATGGTTTCACATTGTGCCCTCAGTCAACAAAAAGTTGTTAGGAAAATTGACTTTTCTTTACTTCAAAATAAAATTCAATATTGCAGCTTTGCTCAAGACATTCTCTCGCTCTTTTTTTTTTATATGTATGTATACTATTTTAGGCTTTATTCTTCATTCTGCACTACATTACGAAAATAATTGCACACAAGGCAGAAACCTATGATTACTTTTGTAGTAGGCTGCATTAAACCATATCTAAAGTTTATGAAATGATGACAAAAAGCCCTGTGAGAGTTTTGTAAGTAAAAGTTTTAGGAGATTTAATCTGATTTACTTTTTCCTTCATATATTTATTTTGATAATTTCAATGAACTGTATTCGTTCCAGGTTAGAAAAGGATTGAGCAAATATTGAAAATTTCATATCTTTACAATTGCAATTCCTGATACTGTCTATATAGTTTTGAAACTTCTAAACATATATGATTTGTTTTGTGAAAAAACTCATACTGCTGAACTCTCATTGATCAATGATTCTAGCATTTTTTCATGAGATATTTATTACTGAGACTGAAAAGAAAAATAATGCCAATGTTGCATGTATACCTGACTCCAAATGTGTTTAGAAATCTACCATTAGCTGCTTTGTTTGCTGAGCTATAATATTTCATTTGTATTTACAAAACTGCTGAGGGAAATGTTTATAGTCCATTTTGTTATATTACTTTGCCAAATTTTGGTGTTTGTGATGTATAGATCAAAGTGTTCATTCATGTTTTAAAACATCAGAGGTTTCTTACAAAATACTCAGCCAAAACCAGGCAAAGTAACAGCTTCTTGGACTTTAATCTTTTAAACTCCAGTGGTAAAACTTTATTTGTGAACTTCCAAGAAAAATAACAGATTTTTTTATGGAAAACTGAAGCCTCATTTACAAAGAAGTGATAATTGCTTGTGCTGATACCATACCCACAATAAATGGAGGCAGAAAGAAAATTCAGTAATGATCCAAAGGAAACTTAGTAGATGAGGCCAAAAGAACTACATAATTCGTTTCTCTGTCAGATGTTGAGGTGTGGGAGTATAACAAGGTGTTTTTACAAACCAAATATAGGCAGACCACAGGGTGCACATTGGTAAATGATGAATGTGAAAGAGGCTGATGTCTCAAATGATAAATTCCTTGAGGCAAATGAAAAGTCACTTTCTGCAGAGAATTCTCTCTGAAAAAGGAATGAGGAGGAGAAAGGAAGGGCATGAACTGAGTGCAAGATCCTACATTAGGATCTAGGTGTACTAAGAAGACTGTACCATCATCTCTGTCTTCCAGAGGTTCATAGGCTAATAAGAAAAACTAAACGTGGATGTTTTTAGGTTCCAGGCACATTGCATGTGCCAGCATGTTTATCCTCAAGGGAAAAGATGAAAAGTGACAGGAAGTGTAGCCTTCATGTTGTCTTGGAAAGGGACAAAAAGAAATGGATAACAAGAGCTTACCTATGAATATATGTCTACCCAGCATGAAAGGTGCCCAGGTTGCTTTCAAAACAAAACAAAACAACAAACCCCCAAAGCAACTCAGGAATATTCTCTTACTTTGGGTGGATAAGCTAATAATCTAGATTACCTACCTGGAACTCTAGGAGAAAGACATTGACTCTAAAGATCCTTCCAAGATAGTAATCAAAGAGACCTAGACTAAAACAGGGTATCAGCTGATAAGCTACATCAGATACTATATTTTATCTTTATTTTTTAAAGATTTGTTTGTTTGAAAGGCAAAGATACAGAGAGGAGGAGAGACAGACAGACAGAGATCTTCCATCCAGTGGTCTACTCCCCAAATGGCTGGACCTGGGCTGATCTGAAGTTGGGAGCCAGGAACTTCTTCCAAGTTTCCCATGTGGGTGCAGGGGCCCAAGGACTTAGGCCATCTTCCACTGCTTTCCCAGGCCATAGCAGAGAGCTGGATTGTAAGTAGAGCAGTGAGACTTGAACCGGCACCCATGTGGGATGCTGGCACTACAGGCAGAGGATTAACCTTCTATGCCACAGTGCCGGCCCCCAGATACCATTTTCATATCACACACAGGCATGCTCAAAAGTATGGGGGCAACTGACACTTGAGAAGTGTAAGAAGAACATTCTAGAAGTCAAAATTATAGTTTCTAGATAGACTGAATCCCAAACAACCTAGTGCAGTGGTCCCAAAATTAACATTGGGAGGCAGAAGAAATGCACAGGCTCCGTATTCAGTGGCCTGTCCTCAAATCTTGGGACTGGCAAGCTGTGCCACCTGGAGCAGGCTACCTAGGTGCTCTTAGTTTTGACTTCATTGTGGCTAAAAATGAGGATAAAAGCAGTATTTGTTTTATGGGGGTTACTGATATAAATAAATGAGATTATATATTTCTAGTGCTTAGCAAGATGCCTGAAATGTAGTATGCAGTTAACAAATTTTAGCTATTGTTATTATTTTAGACAGAATTTCAGTTCAAATTAGGGGGTGTCTCTCGAGTCATGAAAAAAGTAAAATTAGGTCAAATAAAAATAACTATACATAGAAGACAGAAATATAAAGAACTGGTCTTTTCAATAAGATTATAGACATATAGAGTATAAGCTGAGTTAGACATGCCACTACTGTGCACCTAGATCCCTACACTTTCCTCTATCCCAAGTCTTATTAAGTGACTTGTAATTGTCTACTTGTTCATCATCTTCTCAGGACTATGAGCTACGTGAGGGCAGGTACTATGCTTTTCTTCGTTCCAACCTAAGTAAGTATCTGGCATACAGTAGACACACATGTTGATTGAAAGAATAATTGTATTTAAAGCAGGTTTAAATAAACACAGCAACCCTTTCTCTGGCTTCTCACAAAAGGACATTAAGAAAACTTATCCTCATAGGTAAACCCAGATATTATTGAAAGGAGATGCTCTTATTTTTTAAAATGTGTTTTCTTTCCTCTTTTTTAACAGGAAGTGATTTTAGTAAGTGCTGAGAGAATGTGTAAACCCATCATAGGTGGGTTTATCATAGGTGACACTATTATAACACTGTCACAGGAGAATTCACACCTATAGATAAGTTAGTGGAAGAACAAAGTTAGTTTTGAAAGGTTAGAGAAAATGATGTTGAAATGTCAGATGCCCTCTATAAACTTGACCACCCTTGGCATCCTTCTTTTAATCTACCTGGGCTTGAGAAAAGCCTAGGGCATTTGAAATGAAGACAATTAACACCTCAGACAGGGCATTCACATGTAAAATTTTGTCACCTCTCAAAGACCTCAGGAGGTGACAAGTTTAGATGAGAAGACACTTTCAACCTTGGCTGACAGCTCCTCTAACTTGCAATACTTTTATATTTGATTTAAATGGCATCTATATCATAAGAAGTCAGTTTTCTTTAAACTGTGAAGCCCTCTTCCTCTGCTCTAGAATTTTTATTCTTTAGGCTCTTTCAAAGCACCAAGAAGAAAAATATTTTCCCTACTGGGTGAGATTTCAGGAAACAAGTCTTGCTTATTCAACACAAATGAGTTCAGTCCATTTTTTCCGGTTTCTCTCTCAATAAGCCCATTTGGCTTTCCTTTAGAGCCCAGGGTATTATAGCTGGAATTGAACTAAGGGGTCATCTGTTTCAACTCCATTTGACAGACAAGAAAAATGAGGCTCAGAGAGAGGAAGTGAGTTAGTTGCAAAACAGGGTGTAAAATTTGAATCTCATAATTACTGGCCTAATATTCTTCCAATTCACTTTGCCATTTTTTTTTTACCATTTGTTTATTTTTTTTAAAGAGTGACAGAGAGGCAGAGGGAGGGAGGGAGGGGTGAGAGAGAGAGAGAGGTCTGCCATCTGCTGGTTCACTCCCCAAATGGCCACAATGGTCAGAGCTAGGCCAATCCAAAGCCAGGATCCAGGAGCTGTTTCTGGTTCTCCCATTCTGGCCACTTTGTACTGCTTTCCCAGGCCATAGCAGAGAGCTGGATCGGAAATGGAGCAGCCAGGACTTGAACCGGCACTCATATGGGATGCTGACACTGCAGGCGGCAGTTTTACCCGCTATGCCACAGTGCCAGCCCCCATTTTGCCATTTTCAAAGGTGGGCTACAAACATATAGAAACCATATTTGTGTGTGTGTGTGTGCACATGTGTGCATAAAATAGTATCATTTTCTAAAGTTATTTGAAAGAGTGACACACATGCACACACAGTTTTACATTTGCCGGTTCACTCCCTAAATGCCTGCGACAGCCAGGGCTGGACTATGCTGACCAGGAGCCTGGAACTCCATACAGATCTCCCACAGGGGTGGCAGGGGGTCAAGTACTTGGACCATCGTCTGCTTCCTTCCCAGGAGCATTGGCAAGAAGCTGAATTGGAAGTGGAGGAGTTGGGATTTGAATTGGCATTCTCATATTGGATGCCAGTGCCACAAGTAGTGGCTTAAACCGATGTGCTACAATGCTAGCCCATGTTTTACCTTATTTCCTTAAGAGCATTAATTTAAATCATTACTCAACATATGTAGCATCTACCATGTGTCAGACAAGGAAGATACAGTGGTGAACGCAAATCCTGCCACCTTGGACCTTATAGAGACAATAAACAGACGATTTTGCTCCTAAGTGGTATATATTTTGTACCTGGAACCCATTGTTCCTATTACTCTGTTGGCACTTCCCACTATCTCCATTGCTCTCCTCTTTCATTTTTCCCCTTTCCTCTCTGGGGAGAGATAAGGAAGCCAGCCATTTCAGTTCCTCTTTTTTTCTACACTTTAAGCTCAGTGTGTAGCACTAGAGTGACGATGTCAGTATTTTTCATCAACACTACACTAGTGGGCTGGTTTGGCTGTCAGCTTGCTTGTGAAATGACAATGAGGTATTGGATGTGAGAGCTGTACTATTACCTTATAATTTATCCGCCGTTTTTTTAAAATGTGATTTTAGTTGTGCTGAACCCTATCATACCTGGCTGCTTTGACAGGAGTGCTATTTTAGCAACATGGAACAAAACAGAGAAAGAAAAGAAGTACGTATGGTACACTTGTCCTGTCAAATCCAGGTTGCTCTGTTCCCAAGTGTGTGGATGATTTGTCAAAATTGTTTAGAGACAAAAAAGAAAAGTTACATTTTGTTTTTAATCTGTGTCACACCAAATGTTCTCACAGTTTACTTCACAGGTGGGCTGTTGTCCATATGGGCTTATATAAGGGGTTCCCCTCCCCTGTCTTCTTTCATATTTGAAATTCCACCATTGTGATTAGTTTCTCTGGGATAATCTTTTGCACATTCAAAATACAGAGTCCAGGGGCTGGCGCTGTGTTGTAGCAGGTAAAGCCACCACCTGTAGTGCCGGCATCCCATATGGGCACCAGTTCAAGTCCTGGCTGCTCCAATTCCCATCCAGTTCTCTGCTATGGCCTGGGAAAGCAGTAGAAAATAGCCCATGTACTTGGGCCCCTGTACCCGTGTGGGAGACCCAGAAGAAGCTCCTGGCTTCCGATTGGCACAGCTCCAGCTGTTGTGGCCAGTGGGGGAGTGAAACAGCAGATGGAAGATTCTCTCTCTGTCTCTGTCTCCCCTTCTCTGTGTAACTCTGACTGCCAAATAATTTTTTTTAAAAAAGCTATACTACTATAGTTTTAATGATCTGTGATTGCTTTAAAATTTACTGTATATGGGTGAAATGACCATTTTTCCATTCAAATATTTATAGCTGTTGTTTATATTCCCACTAAACTAGGGTCTTTTTTACTTTTTACTTGCTAAACTTAGTATTAAGCGTTTTCACTGTAACATAAATTTAAAATGTTACCTCAAAAAGGAAGAGAATATTATGTTTGTGTCTACAAAGCACGTTCAATCTGTAAAAAACTAATTAAAAATCGTTAAAGTCTCTAAAATGTGAAAAGAAATGAAGGAGACTTATATTTCAGCTACTATGGCTGGGCATTCTTCCACCAAGGAGAGCTGTTGCTGGCTACCACTGAAATCTTAAAGGATTGTCCTTTTTTTTTTTTTTTTTTTTTTTTTTTTGACAGGCAGAATGGACAGTGAGAGAGAGACAGAGAGAAAGGTCTTCCTTTTGCCGTTGGTTCACCCTCCAAAGGCTGCCACGGCCGGCGCACTGCAGTCGGCACATTGAGCTGATCTAAAGCCAGGAGTCAGGTGCTTCTCCTGGTCTCCCATGGGGTGCAGGGCCCAATGACTTGGGCCATCCTCCACTGCACTCCCGGGCCATAGCAGAGAGTTGGACTGGAAGAGGGGCAACTGGGACAGAATCCGGCGCCCCAACCGGGACTAGAACCCCATGTGCCAGCCCTGCAGGCGGAGGATTTAGCCTATTGAGCCGTGGTGCTGGCCAAAAGGATTGTCCTTAACCCTCATAGTTGGAGGGAAAATAACCATCTTTGGCTCTGAGCATCCAATTCATTGGTTAAGATATGAGGGTTTAAATGTCCTCCCAAGAGAGTTCCCAGCCCAGACGCATTCTCAGAAAAGTAGGTGGTGAAGTGGTGAAAGGAATACAACAGACAACATAGCTTCAGCTCTTTGTATTCCAATTCTAAAAGTATTTTACATAATCTAACGTGACATGTGTAAGACTGTTGAGTTCCAGGCATTAAACGATGTCTAGCAAAAATGGAGGAAGTTTTTGGGAAATATTACTTATCACTATTTGAAATAGAAGCAATGCTTTATTTCAGAGAAGAAAATGTAGGCTGAAGGCTTTTAAAAAATTAATGACAGCTTAACATCAATTGAAGAAGAAGCCATTCTCTAGAAACAACAGAATAAAAGTTACCACACAATTATCAACATGCACAAAATGTTGTAAAACAAGTTTTATGGCTGAAATCCTGAAAAGCGGGCCCTACACACCAAAGGGCATAGACAAATCCATGTAATGATGAAGACCCAGTTAAATGATTTGGCTTCATTCCAGGGCCCAGCAAATAGACAAATCTGGAATACCTTTGGACATACACTGGGATTTTTGTACCTCCTCCAGCACATTGGGATCCTAGACAAGGTGCTAGAAAAAAAATCAGTATTTACTTAGGACCAGGATCGTTCAAGATGACTATCTGAGTTAGGAGCTGAGAGAGAGGAACTTGCCCAAAGTCTATTGTTCACCTGCTTCATCTGATTCTGCAGGAGTCTCATGGCCATGATCAGTAGTAATTGCATATAGAAGGTGCCGTTTCGGTGCTTTGGTTTCAGAGCTTTTAGTCCTTCCGTCTTCAGTAGGTTTCAGCCCCGCATGACACGCTGCCTCTATCAACTCCTTTGAAGATCGGGTAAGCTAAGTCATTCCCGGTGGCCCCAGGGGGGAAAATGCAAGAATCGAAGCATTACCAAGCACTCTTGTCAGTGGGTGAGAGTCTGCATTGGCAGTACAGCCCAAATCGTGCAAAGTCCGTTTTCCAAGGTTGCACTCTTTGTAGGAACCCTATGTTGGTTGGGGGGTGGGGACCACACCCGGTGACAAGTTTGATAGAACCAAGCGGCTAAGTTGCTGAGCTGGTTTTAATTGAAGTGTGAGAGGGAGGTTTTTAGGCAGGTAGACAACATCCTGTTGTTCCGGTGCTTCTCTTTCTTTTTGCACATTTAGCTGAACTGGGAGTCAGGTGGCTGACTTGTGCCTGGCTGCAGCAGCTGCATCTCCCAAGTACCATCTGCAAACCTCGGCCTGCCCCAGAGTCTCCTAGGCAATGGATGCGGTGGCTGTGTATCATGGCAAAATCAGCAGGGAAACCGGGGAGAAGCTCCTGCTCGCCACCGGGCTGGACGGCAGCTATTTGCTGAGGGACAGTGAGAGTGTCCCGGGCGTGTATTGCCTTTGTGTGCTGTGAGTACGTTATGGCTGTGGCGGCGCAGAGTGTGGGCAGTGGGCACGGGGGGCCTGGGGGCAGGGATGCGGGTGGCAGTTGTTCATTAAGATCTCCTCTCCATGGCCGCAAGATTTCCTGTTCAGCTCCCACTTTGGCCGAGTGTCTTCCTGGGGATTTCATTCCCTGGCTGCCGCCTCTCCAGGAGGACCTCGCCAGGGACTTTCTGGGCAGCTGCAGAATGTAGCCTTGAGGATATGGGGAAGCATGGCCTAGAATTTACCTTTGCTTTGAGACTCGGGCTCCTGGCTTCCGTCTTGACTTCCAACTGAGGCCAGCAAGATGGAGTCCTGGAATGATGGGCCAATCAGATTTGGGGCCCCCAGCTCTGGAGAGAAGGAAAGGCCTCTCTTGAGATGGTTTGGAAGTGTCATCCCAAAGGAAGAATACCAAATTCAGGGAGAGGAGGCAGACTAAAGGGCAGAGTCCATTACTTTCAGAATGCGGCCACCAGTTGGGTCAGGACGCAGAGATGGGGTGTGTGTGAGTAAAACTGCTGCTCTGGATCAGCTTATTTAGCTTCTTTTAGAGGAGGTGTGTGGGGGACAGGAGGTTTTAAAAATAAGACCCTCCTCTATGAAAGCTAGGACCGATAGTGGTAAAGGGTGTGGCGGGAAAACACCCTCGTCATGATTCAGCTTTGCCTTTGTCTAGGCGTGTCTGGGTCTAAATGCCCCATTTTGAATCAGATGCACCTGCATCTTTGTTCCAGGGCTCCAGAGGCAGACAGCTGTGAGAGCGAAACCCTGTGCTGGTCAGAAGCCAGGTGTGTGGCCTTGGCAAATTAATGTCTTGGTCTTTCAGTTTCTGCATCCATTCAATGGGTATTACCCACCTCACAGAACTGTGAAGGTTCCGTGCTGTAATGCATGTAAAAAATTAACACTGAACCTAACACATAGTAAGTGTTCAGTAGAAATAAGATATTGGTATTATTACAATCAATCTTCTCTTTCAGTTGATTACTTTTAACACTCCTGGGAAGGACCTAGCTGAAGCATTGTCATCACCAGGATAAAATCACCCATGGAAACACCAGCACTCTACGTTAGGTTCTAGACAGAAACAAAATAAGGGCTAACGCTTGGTAGTCAGTCAGTTCAGTATTGATGATACATTGATTGTATATTGGTTTTTAAAAATGGCCAAGGTTTGTTAGTAGTAGTTCTGAGATTGTACTAAATACATTCATCATAAGGACTGCAAAGGAGATGCACACAAGTTACTGAATCTCTTGAGCTTGCAGTTTCATGTTTTCCTGATATTACTGTGCTTCCTGAGTGAAACCAGGAGAGGGTGGTGAAAGCCAACTAGGATTCTTAGGCGCTTTTCTTTTTAATTTAAAAAAAATTTAAAAATTTAACTGATATATGAAAATTGTACATATTCATGGGGCTCCATTGATGTTTTGATACGTGCATACGTCATGTAATGTTCAAATCTAGATAAACATGTCAATCTCCTGCAAGCATTTGTTGTTTCTTTATAGATAGACTCTTTCATTATCAAAAGAAGGTAGGGGAGTGAGTGGGAGGGTTGAGGGGGCTGCTTTAGGGAAGCTAGCCAAGGAGGTAATGTGCTTCTTAGCTTAGCGGTAAAGAGGAAGGCACAAAAGAAGCCTGGGCAGGGGTTGGGAGAGCGGGGGACAGTGTGTGGCTACGTACATTAAGGCTTCATTTTTGCTGGCCTCCTGGCCATTTCTTAAGCTCACTGAGTATGCTTCCTATTTAGGGTTTTTGCCCTTAATGCTCCTTCTGCAAAAATTTGATTTACATGTTTAGGCAACTGACTCTTCCTTCAGCGAGGCCTTCTCTGGCCACCCTATCTAGACTGAATGCCCTCTACCTCTCCCACTTACGTGCTCTTTATTTTTCTTCAAGGAGCTTTAAAGGCCTGACATTTGCATGTTTACTTAACTGTATTGCTGGGATCTTCTAGAAAAATGTAATCTCGGCTGGCACCGCGGCTCACTAGGTTAATCCTCCACCTGCGGCACTGGCACCCCTGGTTCTAGTCCCGGTCGGGGCACCAGATTCTGTCCTGGTTGCTCCTCTTCCAGTCCAGCTCTCTGCTGTGGCCCGGGAGGGCAGTGGAGGATGGCCCAAGTCCTTGGGTCCTTGCACCCGCATGGGAGACCAGGAGGAAGCATCTGGCTCCTGGCTTCAGGGTGGTGCAGCGTGCCGGCCATAGCGGCCACTTGGTGGGTGAACCAACGGAAAAAGGAAGACCTTTCTCTCTGTCTGTCTCTCTCTCACTGTCACTCTGCCTGTCAAAAAATAAATAAATAAAATAAATAAATAAATAGAAAAAATGTAATCTCCGTGAGGGCAAGGGTCTTCATCTCCAGCCCCAGGAATATAGCCTGGTGCATAGATAGGCACTCAAAAAATATTTCTGAATTAACCAACCAGTGAACTATAGAAGGAAATTCTGTTTTTTACTGCGAAGAGCCTTGATCCAGGGGCTTGCGTTTTGGTGAGATGGGTAAAGCCAATGCCTGCAATGCCAGTATCCTGAAGGGGCGCCAGTTTGTGTCCCGGCTGCTCCACTTCCAATCTAGCTCCCTGGTAAAAGCAGCAGAAGATGGCACAGGCGTTTGGGCCTCTGCACCCATGTGGGAGATTCAGATGAAGCTCCTGGCTTCTGGCCCAGCCCTGGCTATTCATCTACCCGGGGAGTGAATCAGCTGATGGAAGATCAGTCAATCCCTCCCACCCTCCCTCCCTCTTCTCCCTCCCTCTTCTCCCTTCCTCTCCCTTTCTCCCTGTGACTCTGACTTTCAAATAGATAAATAAATCTGTGCATGCATTGTGGGGGGGAAGAGCCTTAATCTGTCATCAGGAGGCTAGGAGGGGGGCTCCAGAGGAGTCACTCATATTCTCTAGGCCTTAGTTTCCATGTTTATAAAACAGGAATAGTAATGCATGTCTTCTGCAAGTTTGCTGAAAGTGAAATATGCAGAGAGAAGGACAAGTGTAGCCTTTTGCCCACATAGGCCAGAACCATACAAGGGATGAATTTAAACAGGAGGGAAATTCAATTCTCAAATGTGTAAATGTAGTTTGTATGACTCTTGGGTCTCCATGAAAGCCTCCTCGTGAAGCCACAGAAAATAGTAGGCAAATTGGGAGTTCCCTACTGTGTCTTTTGATTGGTACACTCTGGCTTCAAAGTTTTATGAGATTGTTAGGGTGATCGGCACACTGTGCTGCAGAGGGAAGACACAAGGACATTTTCCTTTGATCAGTGTTTCTCAACCTTTTTGAGCCACGTAGCCTTCTTGATAAACATAAACATTTCATTCCCTTTTTTTTTAATTAAATTGTATTTTGAAATAAGCCCTGTACTCATTTTAAACCAAAACACTTATGCTTGAAATATGCAGCTTAGGTGGTAATGTAAGTGGTATCATGTACTTATGAACCACAAGGTACAGCTAACAAACATGCATTGATTGTAGGGTTTACTCAGAATAGTTTCTCATTCTCTCTCTTTTTAAAAAGATTTATTTATTTATTTGAAAGAGTTACACAGAAAGAGAAGGAGAGGTAGAGAGGTAGAGGTAGAGGTAGAGAGAGAGAGAGAGAGAGAGAGAATCTTCCATCTGCTGGTTCACTCCCCAATCAGCCGCAATGGCCAGAGCTGTGCCGATCCAAAGCCAGGAGCCAGGAGCTTCCTCTGGGTCTCCCACATGGGTGCAGGGGCCCAAAGACATGGGCCATCTTCTTCTGCTTTCCCAGGCCACAGCAGAGAGCTGGATCGGAAGCGGAGCAGCTGGGACTTGAACCGATGCCCATATTGGATGCCTGCACTGCAGGCGGCGGCCCCTCTCATTCTCTTGTTTGTTCCCATTGACCAAGATTTGGTTGAGCTTTAGTTCATATATATATAGACAGGCAGAATGGACAGTGAGAGAGAGAGACAGAGAGAAAGGTCTTCCTTTGCCGTTGGTTCGCCCTCCAATGGCCGCCGCGGCTGGCACGCTGCGGCCGGCGCACCGCGCTGATCCGATGGCAGGAGCCAGGTACTTATCCTGGTCTCCCATGGGGTGCAGGGCCCAAGTACTTGGGCCATCCTCCACTGCCTTCCTGGGCCACAGCAGAGAGCTGGCCTGGAAGAGGGGCAACCGGGACAGAATCCGGTGCCCCAACCAGGACTAGAGCCCGGTGTGCCGGCGCCGCAAGGCGAAGGATTAGCCTAGTGAGCCGCGGCGCCGGCACTCCTATATATATTTTTAAAGATTTCTTTATTCACTTTGAAAGTCAGTTACAGGGCGGGGGACAGAATGTGAGTTTCCATCTACTGATACATTTCCCCAGATGGCTGCAACAGCCAGTTTTGGACCAGGCTGAAGCCAGGAGCTTTATCCGGGTCTCCCATGCAGGTGGCAGGGGCCCAAACACTTGGGCTGTCTTCTCCTAGGCCATTGGCAGGGAGCTGGATTGGGAGTGGAGCAGCTGGGAAATGAACTGTTGCCCATATAGGATGCTGAAATCACAGGCTGTGACTTTACCCGCTACACTGTGGTGCTGGCCTTTCTGTATTTTTCTTGTAATAGATTTCAAATGCCTTTCAAACTGTACTTTAAGCTGTATTCTCACACTACACTTGCTCTTTTCCCCAATTATGAACCCTCTAATCATGGATTTCAGATATGGCCTTTTCTTCTGTTCGGTTTCAGAAGCCAAAGCTTTATGAATTTCGTAAAGCACTAAAGAAGTTTCCCATTTATCGGACTATTCAACTTCATTTTAAGTCAGAGGTTTTTCATCCAATCATATTCTTTAAGCACATCTGGATTTTTGTATCATAAGTCTATTAAAATAGTTCCTTATACCTATTCAATATAAAAAATTTGAAAAATATAGATAATGGAAATAAGGGAAAAAAGTCATCTATAGTTTTACAACCTAAAGATAGCTATCGTTGAAAATTAAGTGAATTTTCTTCTGTATCTTAA